TCTAGGTAATACATTACTAATGATGGGTTTGTTAGTGTTTTGTTTGCAGGAAGAAGTTCATTTTCCATGATCAATTAAGAATTCATTTAAGTCAGACCCACAGCATAAATTGCCCTGATTTAATATGCAAAATATGTTTCATGGAGTTCAATACTACTAGTGAACAAAAGGCTCATGAGCGAAAACATGATGAATCTTATTCATGTCAAATGTGCAACAAGAAATTTTCTTCAGAATACTTGTACGAGAAGCACCTGAATGAACATATATTTCAGGAGAAGCCTAATGAATGTAAGAAGTGTGGTAGGAGATTTAAGAATGAAGTGGCATTGAATATTCATAAGAAACGTCATGTAAATATAGCATGTACAACTTGTAACATGCATTTCTTGAATGACACCGATTTACTGTTGCATATTAAAGAACATTGTGATGATGATGTCATGACATTACTTAAGAATATTGCGGTGTTAGATGAAGAGGAATCTCAGCTTGAAGAAATGCTTTCACTCTATTCAAAGTTAACATTGGAGGCAAAGTTAAATGACCTTAAAAATGTGGAAAATGATACTTGTGAAAATTCAGTTTTGGATTGTGTAAATACAATGATTTCTACTGTATCACAATTTACTGACATTGACATTCCAAGTAAGAAAGGATCAGAATGTAGACTTTGTGGAATGAAAGTTTCTTCAGATAAAGAATTGTTAGATCATCGTAAACAATTTCATTTACGAAACAGAACATGTCCTTTTTGTGGCAAGAGAAGTAGATCAGTCAGTCAAACCTGGAGACATATGCATTCACATATTTTGAAGAATAAAAATAGTATTTCAAAACAGCCCATTGCAACTGAAAAGGAAATAACCACTAATTCAGGAGATCGTAATGAAGGCTGTGAAGTGTTGTCCTCTGCAAAGGCCAAGCAGGTAATTATTTATTTCTTTATTTATATAGCAGACAGTTACGGAAAGGACAATTTATATCTAATTGCTACAAAGATAGTTTTATAATAATATATAATATTTATAATAATTTCACAAGCCTTTTAGCCTAACAATTTGGAGAACTTAACTTTTAGTTTGTTAGCATTTTCACACATTCACCAGAGAGAAGCATTTAAGTGTGAATTAATTTCTAGTACTCATATTCAATATGTTATTAAATATTAAGTTTTTCGATTACACACTAGAATTTTTCAGGATAAGTTCTATAATATTGGTGGACTATCATTAACCATTATTTATCAAGCTATAGAAATATACAAAATCATATTACCTGTGTGAATGTAGCACACTGTATTCAACAGTAGTGCTACATGGTTATAACAATGAGAAATATTTGGTAATGACTGATGTAATTCTCAAGCTTGAAACTTGAGGAATTTATGATGTGTGATTCTAATTCTAGTTTGTTCAATTGAGAAAGAGACCAGCAGGTTTATATATATCAATAATGCCCTGATCAAAATAAAAAGTTGTATTTTAAAAGTTTTGATGTTTAAAATTTCAATTCACTTGCTATATCTCCATTAAATAAGTTTTTGAAAACATATGTGTAGTAGAATAAATCATGTACAACATGAACAGTAGAATTGAAATTTTTTGTAATTATTTGAAATTTTTCAGTCAAGAAAAAATACAAGATTATACAGCTGCAATATTTGCTCAAGAAAGTTTCTGTATCCCGGCTCTCGGGATAAGTGAGTACATTTCAGGATATTTTTTAAAGGATTTTAGTTACTATTTCATTTGAATTTGATACATACTATTGTTCTGTTCTAATTTTAATCTACAGAAATTTAAAAATATTATTTTCCAAATAATTGATGTGTCATCGCCTAATTAATTAGAGGTGATGTACTTTCTCGCCTCAGTAACAGTTATATACAATTATAACATTGCAATTTCTGTCCATTTTAACATATCTCAGACATCACTTGTAACGTTCATTTCCAGCTGTAGCGCATTAAATGTAAAAACTTAAGCTAATAATTCAACACAAATTTGACAATCCAAAGCACTGTTCCATTCACCAAGAAATTACTCATATTTTCGGAAAATTGTGTTTGACTGTATTTCAAGATCTGTTTTTGTGAACAAAACTATTAAAATTACATTATGGCAAAATATCTATCTTCTCTAGTGGTAGAAAGATGCCAATCAAATTTTGAACTTCTGCAATTTTCAAAAATTCAGGGAGGGATACAAAAACACAACACATGCCATTTCTTTATGCATCTTATGCTCTATTAGAGGAAAAACTAAAGTAAAAATTGGGAGCCATTTTTGAAAAAAAAAAATCGAAAATGTTGAGGGGTCATGTAAAGTACCTCCAAAAATCAAAATATCCATTTGAAATTCAAGGGGCTGTGACATCAGTCAGATCAATCTGCATATATAAATGTTGATGAAAAAGCTGCTTACTGTTTAGCTGCTAACATTATTCACAGACATAGATATTTTGCTATTTATTGATTTTTTGGTATCAAGGATCCACAAAAACATGGATTCTTACTATACAATGTGTTAGAGGAAGTATTTTACTATAGATAAGAGCAAGATTTATTGACTTTTTCATTCCAAGGTCCTAATAATATGAGTTTTCCTGTTGAAAAATCACTGTTTTTTCCTGCAGCTTTACAATACTCTACAATGCAGAACCTGTATGTGAGAAAGTAAAAATTAGGTTCTTAATTAACGAATTGTTTTCTTCCTAAAAAAGATATAGTTTGTTTGCAGAAGGGGAGAAAATGTCAATACCTTTTAAACCGTTTTGTTAATAGTTATAAAATTTAGGTACAATAAGGTAGAAATTGTAAAATACGAAAATGTTTCTATTGAGAAGGATCAGTTTGCTGATCACAGAAACGGTGGATGAATGGTGAGTTAATAAGGAGCTGTGATGGAAAGACTAGTTGGCAAAATGAGAACATCATGGTACACTACAATTTTCCCCATCTACCTTAAATTCCACTGCATTGCTTGAAATTTAGATTGTAATTCAAATGGTGAGTGAGAGGCTATGTAACCTCTGTGCCACAAATGTTCTCACAGTCTC